ACAATTTATTTTCTAAAAAAGGTTTTTAATGAACAGAAAAGCAATATAACTTTATTACTTTGTAGAGTACTAGTCAATATACTGCAGAGGTTGATTCTGGTAAAGTATGTATCTCTATTAAGCAGCACATTGTTTGAGTTAATGAGCACAAAATAACAAATGCTTGTGGAAACTACCCTGAGCCCAACCAAAAAGTTTAGGGTAGCATCAGTATTATTTTATTGTTAATGCTTTTTATGTATATCTACATTGCAATGAGTTTGTTTTATCAACTAAAAGTATATTTAAATAGTTATCATATTTTTATGTTGAGTATTCAAATAACTATATCATTTATAATAATAACTAACTCTATAATAATAATTTTATAAAAGTTTTAATTTTGACCTGTTAAACAAGTGGCTACATTTACTAACTTTTTTATTTATTTATTGTAAGGTGGAATCACAAAAAAAGTTTGTTTGGTCACATAAGGGGACATGTGGCATGAATTAACTTGAAGATCCCAATTTGTCTTAACCAAGGACTCATGCATTAAAACTTTTAAATTTCACTATGTTACCCTATTAGTTTAATGTTGTGCACATTATGGTCAGGTTTGTTATCAAAATTTTTGATATATAAAGTTTATAGTTTTTTTGCTAGCATATGTATGAAAAGCATATTTCTAAAATGATGTCAATGACATGACATAAATTCTGTAATTTAATTTTTCTATGGAGGCCATTATACAAAAACACTTCCATTTATATATGTATTTGTAACTTTAAAATTTAATAATTTGTATTGATAATTTCAAATTAAAAATTTGTAAAATTTTCTTATAAATTAAGAAAGTTGTTACTTGTACGCGCATACTAATAATAAGTTAAAAAAAAAATCATAACTGTTAGGAAGAATTGGCAAGTAATTGTACATATATTGTTAGGGAGACTCGGCAAGTAATTGTACATTAAGCCACTGTCTATACATACTTTTTTTTTCCAAAACATGTTGGCTCACTTTGGGATTTATGTAAGCCATAAACATAAACATAATTCCGAAAAAATTATACAATTTGGAGTTAAAATCATTTTGGGAAATCATTTTAAAGTTTTCAATTATTTGTGTTTTTTTTTCAAACATTTAAATTAATTAAATATTTCACAAAATCATAAATATCTGTGATGGAAACTTTTTACAAGTCTTGCCTCGTTTTCACTATGCTTTATGAAAGCTTATTGGCTAATGTCACGTAGAAACAAAGGTTCGTAAAAAATTTCCGTTGCAGATGTTTATGAAAAGTTCTATTAAATATTAGTTCAAAACTAGAAAATCGGATTTTCTAGTTTTTAACTCGATTGTTAACAAAAAGTTCTTTAAAATTGTTGGTGTTAAAGAATAGCTTGGGCCAGGGTCTTTTTAGCATATACTGGAACTTCACCGATTTTATAGACCTCACAATGAAAGTTACACCAAGTTTAATGTTGTAATAATATTTTTGAATGCCTTTTCATAAAAGAGTACATTGAACTCAATTTTATATATGTCTTAATCATCGGAGTCATAGAAAAAATTTTCAATATCGATAATATTGATAAATTATATATTATAGTTTTGTATTGTATTCAATATATGTTTGTTATATTAGCATTATACAAGATTGTAATTATATTTGCATTATACAAGATTGTAAAATTACTCTGAGAAAAGTATACAATATTCTGACTTTTTCATATTTCTCTTGTTGCCGGTTTGAATAGCTTCTTGTAATTCCTTTGAAGAAATAAAAATTGAAGTGGGAGGTTCAATTTGTATTGAAGAAACTTCAATTCAGTCGGTCCAAACATCAGCATTGAAGTTCAAGGTCATAATTGCCTTAGCTTTGATTTTAGGTTTAAAATCTGGATTTGTTTCCCTAGATAACCTAATCTTTAAGATTTGATTGAGAGCACAATCTCTTACAACTTTTTCATTGTCTAGCAGCATAGCGTAAAGACAATTTTCTTGACAGCAGCAATAGGAGTTACCTGAAGATTTTTCAATACAATCTTTTCAATTCTGTCATCCTGTTTTTTGACTAACTGTATTGTTTTATGGAGGAGCTTTGGTGCATCTTTGTAATGCATTGATCTTTTTACAGCAAACAACATTGGACAGTAGACTTGAACTATGTACTTTGTGATGCAGTTTAGATCATGTGTAGGTATCTCAGTTCTTGTATAAACCATCATAATTCTTAAAGCAAGGGTTAGCCAGCGTGCATGACAGATAGGACCAGGTTTTTTATTGGCATACTTGACAGAAATGGAACCTTTAGCTATTCCAATACAATACTCATAAAGTTTACGCTGGTCTATACTCAGATTGCAAACAATGTTGGGATTTACATAAAACTCTATCTCGGAATCTATAGGAATAAACTTAACTAAAGGTTGTTTATGCATGAATATATTAGACACTTGTATACCAATAAGACCTTTATATTTTTTAGGATCATTAGTTTGTCCATCTATTTCAGATATAACATGACAAAGAGGTAGCTCACCCTGGTGAAGCAAACATCTAACTAAATGAATACTACGATTCAAAAGCCTTTCTAATTTGACAACTAAACCATTATCTATGCCAGTGTTAGAACTTGTATTGTCAAGAACAATCGCTTCTAAGCTTTGAACACTATCATATTCAGAAAGCACATTCAATGTTGCTAAAGCCATAGTACTACCTTTACCATTTTCTATTATCACATGTGTTAGATAATTTCCAGAGTAAGGATCATTTTCACAAGTAAAAGTGAGGTGATGTTCATCATTGGTGGTTTGATAAAAAAAAGGGTCCGCATTACTCTTGTATTTCATCACTTTAACTAATGAATTTTTGTCTTTCTTGCTATCAACACCAATTACCTTTATTTCTAAAACCTCTTAACGATGCTTAGTGTCAATTGATTTAGCCACTCATGCTTTTTCACAAAATACCTTATATTCTGTAATTATCTGAGATTTTTTACTCTTACTTACTATTCCATAGTCAATTAATACAGCTGTTGCAATTGCAGCTGCTGTAGCATCACTTACTTCTTATCTTATTGCAGCCTTGGCTAAATTAGTTAATTCTGTGTAATATCTTTCACTAAGTATTTGCTCCTCAAACTCTTCCTTTTCAGTTGTATCTAAACTTGAAGAATCAGCACTAAAACTACTATTTGAATGAACTTCTGATGTCTTTTGGTCCTATTTTGCATCTTTGGTCCTTTAAATATTCTCTTTCAAGAACAGGGACCTAAAATAAGTCAAATATTCTAAACTTGAAAGTATTTAGAATGAATTAACGGTCAAATGATTAGTGATAAATAATTTTAATGATTAGTGATAAATAATTTTAACATAACTTCATAAATGAGAAGCAATTTCTAAAATGACAAAAGGCTATTTTATTTTCTGTAACCTTACATATTTATGAATTTTAACAGTAAATGCCTATTAACATTAATACAAAAATAGCATGAACTACCTTTCTACTTTCCTCACAGAGACAAATTATGTGTTTCATTGTGCAATTACTTTTCCGACATTTAATTCATCTAAAAGTATATCATTTTACTATAAAATCAAAACAATATAGAAACCATTTATTGCATAGGCTTACATCCATTAGTTTACGGTTGTAGGCCTTACTTTAATACCTTAGTATTTTCATCTACTTTTACAAAATATTTTTCACATAACATTAAAAAAAAGTTGTAATAAAAAAATTTAAAAGATATTTGTTTACCTATCATTACAATCATCAATAATTGGAAGATCACACTGGCAAGCAGACACATCAAACAACGTTTCTAGTTTCTTTTCTAGCCAGTTTATACCAGACTTATGGTTTTTAGATTGAATTCGTTCTGCAGATAACACTTCTAGAAATGTTCTCGATATTTTATTTTTCAATGGTTTATCTTTTATCAGAGGTAGATTTAGATTGACCCTATACCAAGGCTGTTGCAAGTCACTATTGACTTTTGTCACAATTGATACAGAGTCAATTTTCTGTCCATTAAATAATTCTTTTTCAACCTTGTAATCGTATTGAATGACCTGTTTGTAAGTTGGTAGATCGCTTACGGGTAAATCAGAGGCTTTTCCAGCAAATCTTCCACTATTAATACGAGTTTTATTTAAAACTTTCACAGGTCGCCCAAGTTTTTTTGAGCTCATGCTGATATGACAATATGAATTTATTATATAATTAAAAAATAAAACAAGAAACTATTTTTCAATTTAAATTTCTAAACGAAATATGTTTTAAACTATTTGTTAAAAAACAATTAGCATACGTTTTAGTTTGGTAAATAGATTTTTTTATCGAACGCAAATCTCAGTAGTTTGCTGTATATTTTCAATAGCTCTACGTTTTTAAAAAACCCGCATGAAAGTAGAGTTTTATTTACGGACCTTAAGTGACTCCATGTTGAACTTGCAAGTTTTTCTATTGCATTTCCCAAAAAAATTTAAATTTTTTTGACGTTTTTTTGTGGCAAACGAATAATATATCCACAATACATAAATTCCACACTAAGCCAAGTTTTATCATATACATGACAGTGGCTTATTGTACATACATTGTTAGGGAGAATCGGCAAGTAATTGTACAAACATTGTTAGGGAGAATCGGCAAGTAATTGTTTAATTACTTGCTGATTCTTAAAGTAATTTCTTAGTTTCCTTCATTTAAACGATTACCGAAAGAAACTTAAAATAAATTATTATATTACACGCAATTTTCTAATTTATTATATCAATAAATTAGAAGACGCATGCATTCAAACAAGAAAAGTTGTTTGTGCACGCATACAAATAATGCCAACCTTTAATTAAACTATAAAACATTAGAAAACTTTACAGAAAATAAAAAACATTAAAAAATCTTATTTTTATTTAAAACAAAAAACAAAAAAAAGTTTTTTTTACTGTGATTTAATTAAGATTATTGTTTTTGTTTTTCATATTTAAATTAATTTTAGAAATGAGCAACCTTTATGAAGTTGAAAAGTTTCAGTCATTATTGTTTACATGTTTAGAAGAAATTAAAACATCTACAAAGACAACGTTTTGTTTTCGACAAAATTAGGCTCATTCTGCTCATCAACCATTGTTATCCTGCTAAATGGGTAAATTTCCAAAACTTAAGCTTTTTTTTAATTTACTATTTTTGACAATGACATTTACATTTCCTCAAATTGATTGATAAATTACTTTTTAGATTGATATGGAATTTTATTTAAAGTATTCAGATTACGTGGTGGATATTATCAAGTCCTTTCATCAGACAGTTTCAGAGCCAATAATAAAATATGCTTTACAATCAAACAGTATTTACATCATAGCTGGAGCTGTAATGGCATCTGTAATAGCATCAAAACACAATGGTGATTATTGTTCTATTATTGTTGTTAAGATTGGAGAATATACTATGGTTGTTGTTTAAATAGGAAAGCATATTATGCTTGCAAGCTTCTATGCTTGCTTATGAGGCACTGGGGAAAATTGAAATGTTCTGCTCCAGAGGTAGTCATGAAATTTATCCATACATACAGTAAGACATCATTTTTTAGTTGATCACAGTTCACATAAATTTTTAATTAAAAATAGAAAGAAAAATATTTATTTTATAAATACCTTTTTTAAAAAGAAATATCGTAAAACCAGTTGAAAAGGAAATTTTTTTTGATTTTGAGTTTATAAATCAAGTTTGTTATTCTAAATTGTTTAGAACAAATATTCACTCAGTTAAGTGAATGCAAGTCAAATGCACTATTTTAAATGTTTATTTTTATTTGAAATTTTAGTTTTGATGGTGAAACTAAATTTTAAATTAGTTTTGATAAAAAATTTAATCAAACTTAATCACCTTTAATAAGTAAATGTGCATGAATTTTAGAAAATAAAAGAAAATAATATTGCAATGCATAAAAACACAGTGCCAGGGGCTGATCCAGTATGGGAACAATATTTAGATTTTTTTGCTAACTAAACTCTCTAGTCTTTGTCAAATAATTGTATTTTAATAATTTTATATTATTTTGAAATATAATTTTAAACAATTCTTTTGCTTCACCTAGTATGGTATATAACTACTTTGTTTGCAATGATGAAAATATTTTTCGTGAATTTTTCATGATTTTTATTGCAAAGAAGCAAGATATATAAAAGTGTTATTTTAAATTTAAGCAGAGCATGGACTTCAAAATGTTACTGAGGAAAAGGAGTCATCTTATTCAGTAATTTTAATGCAGGGGCAGGAGGCAGAGAAAATTCTTGCCATAAAGATAGCAACCAAGAAAGTTTTTCTTGATCTGTACATCTATCGTAGAGGGTAAAGATCGTTTTTTCAAGCTTTTTTGGTACTTTAACATTGTGTACCAGTCATAAACAGTCATGTTCTGGCAATTAGTGCAAAACATCTATGGCCTATAGTATGGTATGCTACCAATAGGAGTTATAGAGTTTTTATCAACACTTGCTAAATATGTTAAGTTTTTATTTCTAGTGTATTATTTACTCATCCTGATATACATTTCAGATTTTGTTATACAGTGTTTTATTTATTTTTATAAAAAGGTTTATTACTCTTGCCCCCATCCAAAATCCAAATGATTCTAATACCAACCAGCGGAACTAATTTGCTCATTTCAAACAATAAATTTTATGAAACACTTTATTAGGTTTATAGGAAAGGTTATTATTGCTAAAACAATAGGTACAAATGTTTTACAATGTTGTGACAACAGGGGCAGGGGTCTAAAATCTTGACAATACCTATCTAGGTAAGCAAAATATTCATTTTATTTTTGCAAAAGAGTATTTTGTTACTTTAACAAACAATCTGTTAAATTTACAGATTAACTTGCTACTATTGAGAAAAAGATTGAGTTTGTCAAATTACTACTCCGTTAAATAAACAAATAACTATGTTGGTGCAATACTGAGTAGTCCGTAACAATTTCCCTTAAAATTAAATTAATTTTTTTTCTAAGTATTTTGGCATGTAGCAGTATATATATACATATACAATATGTATATATAATATATATATATATATATATATATAAATATATATATATATATATATATATATATATATATATATATATATATATATATATATATATATATATATACTCTTGCATGTCTCTTGCGTGGCATCAAAAAAAGTTTCCCATAAACTGTAGTTTTGAAGAGCGCGTTAATAAACTAGACCAGAAAAAGATTTAAAAATTTAAAAATTACATTTTTTTTTTTAATTGATAGACTGCCTGGCCAAACCAAACCCTCAGTCGATGTAGCAGCACTCTCTTGCGAGTCAGGCTATTTGTCAGTCGTTGTAGCAGCACTCCCTTGCGAGTCAGGCTATTTGTCAGTCGATGTAGCAGCAGTCTGTTGCGAGTCAGGCTATTTGTCAGTCGATGTAGCAGCACTCCCTTGCGAGTCAGGCTATTTGTCAGTCGATGTAGCAGCACTCCGTTGCGAGTCAGGCTATAAGATAGTCGATGTAGCAACATTTACGCATGTTTTAAAAATGTTTTTTATTAAATCAATAACAAAAACACAACTAATTAAAAAAAACTTTCTAGTCGTTATAATTGCGGTTTTTAAAAAAATTTTTAAAAAACAATTAAATTTAATGTACTTCCGCATAAATTAATTGCTTTGACATTTCGATGACAATCAAAAACAGCTTAAGAGACGAGGTAATTAAAATTGAAGTCGTAAGAGACTTTTTTTACATTAAAACGCTCTTTCGACTACACTATAAGGGGATATATATATACATATATATATATATATATATATATATATATATATATATATATATATATATATATATATATATATATATATATATATATATATATATATATATACATATATATATATATATATATATATATACATATATATATAATACATATATATATATATATATGTATTATTATATACACATATATATATATATATATATATATATATATATATATATATATATATATATATATATATATATATATATATATATATATATATATATATATATATATATATATATATATATATATATATATGTATATATACACATTTTTTTAATAAATAACTTATGTTTTACAGTTAAAAAATCAAAATCAAAACATTAGGAATGTTTTTATTTTTAAAAAATAAAATAAAAACATTCAGAATGTTTTTAAAAACATTCTAGTCTTTTAACTTGCATTTTTTGTGGTTTTATAAATTTAATTATTTCCTGTAATCAAATTAAAGCATTTTGACATAATGAACCATAACTTTGTTAGCTTTAAAACCACAAACAAGCCAAGAGCCATTTTTTACCACAAACACATTTTCTAAGCTGTAAACTATAGGAATATATATATATATATATATATATATATATATATATATATATATATATATATATATATATATATATATATATATGTATATATATATATATATATATATATATATATATATATATATATATATATATATATATATATATATATATCAATTATTAAAGAAAAATAAATTTAAAAAAATCAATTATTTATAGGAAAATTATAATAAAAGGACAGCAATGACAACATAAAATGTTTTATATATATAAATGCATGTCAAGTTTTTGTTGTTGTCCTTTTCATAAATTTAAGCAACTCGCTAAGAATAAAGTTTTTTCCAACTTTAATATACTAAAAAGTACTTAAAAAAACCAACATATATAATTCAAAGATCATTGAAATACTATCACTATGCAAAAATCAATTAGATTTTACACCTATTTTCAAATATAAATATAATTTGTGTAATGTGACAAAAGTATAGTTGTTTTATGTATACAAGCACATCATACGCACATTTGATTTTTTAGCCATTAACTTTTTATCACATTTCCTTATTATCTTAGGTGGAAGTCAATAAAAAGCGGGTATCAAAATGTTTTATAATCAAATGGCAGCCTACTTTATTTTATACAAAAATACACACTCTCCTATTTTTAATTTTTGATTTAAAAAAAAAATCATTGTCCTTGTGCCTTAATATCTATTTTATTAATTTTTCCTCATTCTACCTTCCATCCCATTACCTTACCGTTTTCTAACATTTATAATGTTAGGAAATACCAAGGAAAAGAATGGTTACTTTAAATATTTATGGTATATTTAAACTTTATGCGGTAGTGGTGTAGTGGTAAGAGCGCTCGCTTTGTAAGCGAGAGGTTCAGAGTTCGGCTCCCACCACGTCCCTGGAAGTACTGCGCTCAACTTAATTTCTCCGCGCAGCGACCTTGCTTGTCAAGGTTCGTGTTTCGGAGTTTAAGAGTTGAGAGAGGGTTGTATCATGATTAACAACAACAACAACAACAAAAATTAGTAGCCTCCTCGACTGTAGTGGCCCCCTCAGGCCTTGGGGAGGTTAATTAAAATAAAAAAAAATAAGTGCATTTAAAAAAAAAAAAATATGACTTGAATGGAATAATATATTGCATTAAAATTTAGAAATTAAAAAATCTTAATTATATTATTCTTCAAGACTCTTAAAATCATATATTATGACACTAAGAGAGAATAACACAAGATTAAATAAGATATATATTATAGATTGTATATTGAATGACAAACCTGAACTGAATGTAAAATAAACAAAAGATTTCTATAAAATTAACAATATAGAAGTTTAAATAATTATACTTACATTAAAAATAAGAGTACAATAAAGCCAAAAAAACATGCAGCAGCATCAATTATACGAAGAAAGTATCCCAAATCCATAAGTATTCGTTTGTTATATTTATAATCAATTTCATATTGATATTGCTATATCATTAAAACAAAAATTTCAGACAATATTGTATTTAATAAACGAAGGTATTATAAAAAAAAGAATGCACAAAAAAGCAGGAATTAAAATACCCTAAACTCAGTAAAAACTAACAACATACAAACAAGGATAAATATTATTTTTTAATTTGTTAAAAAACACTTTTTCTTGTTGTATAAAAATATGTGGATATTTGCTTGCATTATGATGCAAAATATATTTGCTATTTTTTTTTAATTGTAATGGCTCATTTTGTTTTGTATTATATTATTTAATTGCCAATCAAAATTTTTAAGTATAGTATTTTAGTATTTTAAATATAACTTCTGTTTAAATGATTTCAATATTATTTTTTATTATCTTTTACAGATAAAATTTTCTAAAAAAGTAAAAACCACCACTAAAACATAAGTAACTTTTGAAGATATTAGAAAAACTTTATCTCAAAAATATCATACTAAAAGTTGTTGCTTTTTTTAATCAAGAATAGAGTGCTTTGTTTTAATAACTGTCAAAAGTTCATTACATATTTTGTCCTCAAAATCCAATTTAACATTCCCCAATGCCTAAATAAAAAACTGACTATTTAGCCTGTTTTATATAAAGCTACTGGTTTTGTTTTTATACATTATCTATTATATTAAGTTTAAAATGTAATGATGTGTACAACGAACTTTCAGTTTAAAAAGTTTGTAACAACATTTAAAAATAGACGTTAACAATAAACAATTTAATAAAATGTTATTATATATGAATTTATAAAGAAACAGTTGTATACTATTTTAATATCAAATTTAATTCTGCCACTGCTGCGGCTGTTACTCATTTGTGCATGTTTGTACAGAACTCACAGCAGCCATTGTATTGCAGCAAAATCTCCTCAATTTTGATTTATACAACTGATTTGCTATTTTATAAAGTTATTTTGCCTTTTGCTTATTAAATAGTGTTGAAAATTATGAGATTAGTACTTCTTATTATTGAAATAAAAAATTAAAAGATGATAAATAAACTATAAATAAATTATTATTTATATAATTTTATTATGAAATTATTATGAAATAAATTATTTAACCATTAATGCATGGGACCCTTAAACATGATAAAATTTCAAAATTTTTTGGCTGATTACTCAAATTACTTGATATAATCAAAATCCATTGTTGTTTTTTAATTTTGATAAAAAATTTAATAAAATAAAAAATTACAGATATCGCGCGAGGCAATACAGTTTGGATTTTTTTATGACAAAGTTTTTTTCAAGCACAGTACTAATTTTTAAAATGTCCATTTAAATGAACGCTATGCATTCAAGGGTTAAAACATATTTATTTGATTTTGGATTGGTTGTTTCTTTTAATCAAAATTAGGTTATTCTTTATAGTTGAATAACTGTAATACAACAAATGATTTTTAATATATATATATACAATTAATTCCAGATAACTCAAGCCTCCAAGGGACCAAAGAAAATGGTTCAACTAAAGCAAATTCCTGTTAAGTCAAACTTTGTCTGATATTTGATTTAGTTTGAATTAAGATTTTTCCTTTTTTATTCAATGGTGAAGTATATACAATTAATTTACACCATTAAACTGATGGTGTAAATTATACTATCTTATTGTATTCGAATGCAGGCATAGGCATTTAAGAATTATTACATTTAAAAATTCCACAATAAAAGTAAATAATATATTAAAGTAATTAATATATAAAATATATAATTTATTATATTAAATAAAAATTATTATGTAATAATTTAGTGTAATAATTTTAAATTACATTTATCAATATAATTTAGAGAGTAATAATTTAAAATTTATCAGTTAGTCCAATTTAATCAAAAGTATCTGCATTTCAATCAACATTTTAATTTTTTTTTTAAAGCATTGTCGTTTATTATGCAATTAATTTATTTTTTTTATAAAAATGACTTTGCATTTTTCATTATAGTTACAACAATAGTTCTTTTCTTGCATAAACAACTTTGTGAACTTGACCACATTGTCATTAATGCTATAGTTACATTACATGGTATTTTGCACCAAAGATTTTAGGAAAAGAAATATCTCTACAATGCATATCTGTGTTGAAAAAAAAAAAAAAGTTTTTTTTGTAATAATTCTATTATAGTTATGTAATATTTATATTCACGTATACTAAAATTATGCTCTACTAAAAACAAAACCATATTTGCAGTAAAAGATAATTTATATTATAAAGCCAACATGTTTTTAGCAACCATACAAAAAAAATATATGTTATAAATACATATGTTAATAAATACATGTTATAAATACATATTATAAATATATGTTAACAAATAATGTGTTAAAAAGACATATAAATGTATATGATATTAATACGATATATTTTTTATTATGCAGATGTCACCAAGCATACAGTCTCAAGCACTACGAAAAAAAATTAGTTGCTTACACAGGCTTGGTTTTTGCAAAAAAAATTTTTTTTTTTTGCAAAAACCATACCTGTATATTACCCAGTTAATTAAATTTTTTTGACTTAGCGTTTTTTATTTTAGTTTCAATGATAATTATATTTTGAGAGAAAAAAAAAATTTTGTAAGAGCTGAAATTGCTCCCATAAAACATTTAGGCAAGTGTAGCCAAGAGCAAGAGCTAAAGCTCTCCCTTCCTACCGAGGCCAGTTTAAAACCATAAAAGTTTAAAAATAGTAAGGTAAAGATAAAACTGTTTAATTTAAAATACCTTTTTGCAAAAGCAAAATGTATAGGTTTCTAATTTTAAAATTATTTACATTTAGACTTTTGAGAAGTACAGAGATTATTGTGAATTTGAGGAACAAAATCAGACCATTGTGAAAATTAAAAAATATCGAGCTGTTTCACATGCCTTGAATTTCATGAAAATCATTTCTTGAAAAAGGCAGGATTTTATTTTGAGTAATAAAATACTCAAAGAGATCGATTGAATGGCTGACTACATTTCTCTCTCCAGGGCATCGCGGTTTTTGACCTTCAACTTTTCTGATTCTGCAATTTTTAAATTAAAACTTAATTTCATAAGTTTTGATATTTTAGTCTTATTATTTGAGAATAATTTGTCATAAAGTAACAAATTGTTTAAAAACAATAATTTGCAAAACAGTTTAAAATCAGATGTAAAATACATGTAAATAACTCTATGTTTATTTCCAATGACAGACTTTTCTTAAAATCAGTAAAAATATAATAATGAAATCAATAGAAATATCAGTTTGATTTTATGTCAAAACTTATTACATGTAATTTTTGTCAAAATTAAATGTAATAAGTTTTTAGCAGTTTCAGTTTAAACCTACATTGCATTATCTACATTGCATTATTTTTTAATTTACACTTTTAAGATCAACAAGACTATTGGCAGATTTATATTGAGCCTGTTGCAGAGGTAAAATTCAAATCATAGTATCTTTTAAATCATAGCATCTTTTGACCTAGATCATAATATAAAAATGGAAAAAAGTTCTGTACTCAATATTAAAGGGAGGTCCAAAAAGAAATTAAAATGGATAGAAACAATGCTGAAATCCTTCTGAAAGCAGTTTTTGTTGATAACCAACTAACTAGGTCTTGAGTTATATATTTCACTAGATTACTGGTTAGCTTTTGATATTCTAGGTCATAGTTTGAAAAAATGCCTACGGATGAGACTCCCTTAGACTTTTTGGATAAAATGAATTCCGAAACTTTTAAAATCAATTCAAAGTTGCTAACAATTTATCAGAACTCACAGCAAAATCGTAACTCTATTAACCATTTAAGAAATTTATTTCTCAAAACAAGTAATATACTTTTTGTTTTTAAAAAATAAATTGCATGGCAGGTTAATTATTTCTTAAAACGAAAGATATTTCTTGTTTTAAGAAAAATATTTTGTAATAAAAAATTCAACTTTGCTGCGCTTACAGAAAAAAATTTATTCAAGATTATGTAGAGCATTTAATGAACTTTGAGAAGCTTCAGGAGAAGCTTCAGAAGCTTTAAATAAAAAGTTCTTGTAAAAAAATCATTAAAAAATAGAAAAGAGTAGATTCAAGGAGCTGACTGGTGACTGCTTTCTCACTTTTTTGTTATTGAATGGTTCTAATTACTTGAATTTTGATCCAATACTTAAACTGCAAACTCTGAACCTTAAAAGTACATTTAAAAGTTATTTTTTTACATATTTTCTTGAGATATTTGTCTTAAGCTGAAAATTTTTATGTATATAATTACTTATTGTAGATTTGTGAATATTGTTAATTCTGAAGCAAATTTGCTTCAGAAACAAGAGATCTATGGCAGTGACGGATCCAGCATTTCTTGGTGTTCGTAATAAAATGAAGCAAAATCCAAACATTTATGTTTATACTTATGTCAAATAATGATGCTTTTTAAAAAGTTGCAATGATTGGAAGCTGGGAACAAAGAACCCTAAAATTGTATCCCTTTGCCCCAAACATTAGAGCAACAAGTTGATGAAATAATTTTTTTGCTATTCTAAACTAAGCTTATATTCATCAACAAATTTTAAGTATTGTTTTACTATTCCTAAGCGTTAAAAAAGTATGACCATATAAAATTTGTAACCCCTTCAAATTGAGGGGGGTTTAAACTTTTTATGGTCATAATTTGTAAATGCTGAGAGATAATACTATGAAACTTAAAATTTATCAATGAATATAAACTTAGTTAAGAGTAGCAAAAAAATTATTTTACTAACTTGTTGCTCTCACGTTTGGGGGAGGGGGATAAAATTTTAGGGCTTTTTTTGTTCCCAGCTTCCAATCATCACAATATTTTGCAAAGCATCATTATTTGACATAAGTCTAAACATAAAAATGTTTGGAGTTTATGCCATGTTTTTTATCTCAAACACCAAAAAATGCTGGATCCTTCACAGATCTATTAATTGATGCTTTTTTCGACATGCAAAAGTAAACTTTCAAGTTAAATGTTCATCTGCGGTGCTCTGTGATGCAACTTATTAGGTCT